TATCAGAATGTAATGATCTTAGTATTTAAAAAATTAGATTTAATGTAAGATTTAAACTGTTTCAGCTGTTTTGTTTTTAATTTTGTAAAATTTTGACGTTCCGTTTTGAGAAAAATAAAGAGTTATGTGTGTTTGCTTGGTATTCTATTCTCCTAGTTTGCTTAGTATTGTCTTCTATTTAATAGTAAGATCCTCTTTACTAATTTAAAAGACTACTCTAAGCACACATTGCTTATTTAATTCCATTACCTCCGCCTCTGAAATAAAGTGCGTCATTTTTGTGATACAAATTGTGTAAAACTCAACGCACATCAAAAATTTACAAAACTCGCTTTATACGAGGAGATATTTGCAAAATAAAAGTAAACAAAAGACAATAATTACGTAATTAAATTTTGTTTTTGCTCTGGCAGAGAACTTTAATTGGTCGCATTTACAATGTCTGAAAAATTTACATTCGTATTGTGCGACATTTTGTTACAATCGTTTTTGTTGATTATCTCAGAAGAGTATAGCTCCCTAAGGCGAGTTTTGCATTTAGACGCCTCATTTATGTTATTATATTTAACAATGTTAATATAATTGTATAGTTTGTCTATGATTGCCGTAAGTAAATTAAACCGGGTTAATTTTGTATATGCACACCACATAAACAACACTGGTTCCCTCTAAAACATGGCGGAACGTCTGCGCGAAAGAGATGCGCGTACTTAATTTTCCATGGAGAGTGGGCATTCTGTTTGTTTATTATTCTGTGGTATAAGCATCGAGCAATAAGACAAAAGAGGGAATGTAAAGGTAGAAGGGGTAAACATATTGATAGACAGGAAGTGCCATCTTGAGAGGCCACTTTAGACAAGGATAGACAGTCTCTTTCCTTGTTTAAGAAGTCAAATTTAGTTTGGTTATGTTATTGTTTGTCCCAACTGTCACATGAAATTTTATTTATATTGAAGTTTTTACCAATTATGTCACTTTTTAGACTATTATCGTTAATATTTAATTAAAACTTTCTAGTCTGAAAAATATTTTATAGCTATTGTTAACAAATGTTGGAAAATTTAAATTTAGCGCCTTTGCATTTCCGGATGTGTCCGCCATCAGAGGCCACTTTTTTGGTCTCCTTTTTATAACGATTAGATTCCCTCTTTTGTCTTATTGCTCGATGGGTATAAGTATAGTCTGAGAAAGACTTAAGGTCGATTCACACACATCAGTCACGTCATAGTCACGGTACCGAACCGGTCCTGTTTGGTCACAGAACTATCAACTATCTGACAGCTGGCAAACTGTTCGTCAACTGATGAGTGTGAATGCTGGCGCCATATTTGTATTAAAGAATATTTTGTATGACGGATTGTTCGATTCGGCGCAATCACTGTGACGAGATGGTGACGAGACGTGACTGATGTGTCTGAATTGACCTTTATAAAGGCAGTCTTGTTGACGCCTGTCATTGTCAATTTATCCAAAAATGCAGACAGAAGGGAAAATTAAATTAAAATGCCTATACTATTTATTTTCGCCCAATTTTTTAGGAATCGAATAATTCATAAGAAAACCTAGAGTTTATAGGTTATAGTGGTAAATTAAAATGTGTTACTCCTTATGATTTTTAAAATAATATAACACCAAAAATTAAGAATTTTCAGCAAAATCTACTTTATATAATTATGGTACAACAGTTTTTACCCATTATTACAATTATTAAGATATTCAATAAAACACATGTTTTCAAAATGTTTATTATGCCTAGAAAATTTTTAAATTTTTCTAGCTTTTAATAATTTGCATGACAACTTACGCTGTGAATTAAAGCGATATAATAATTTATGATTGATCTATCTGTTGTATATATAATTTTTAAAAAATTTAAATATTTTCCTCATATTTTAATTACTTAGTATGGTTAAATGCTTTATATAAGTCCAATGTATATAAGTCCAAAAGTACAATGTTGTTTTTAATATTTCACTTAAATAGAACTGGTTTCTGGCAGTAAGAATGCTCACTAGAAACTTCTTTGGAAGTACTTGAAGAAGCTGAACCAATGAGCAACTCCCTATAGTAAGTAGTTTCAGCTTCATTTGCTTTACACAGTGTTTTCTGTGAGCAGGGATTTATTCTTTTCTTTTTTGTGGATGTAAACCCAATTTGAGATGCAATACGTTTATTTGCAGGATCCTTTACTGTTTCGTCGGATTGAAGAAATTCCCTACTGCCGACAGACTGTATTGTGTTGTTCAGTGTTTTTTCTAGTGTTTGAAGCAAATTGCAGTCAATAGTCAATATATGATTAGTTCTTAATTGGCCTTGGAGTAAAGTCATTTTTTCAATAATACGATCAACCGCATTCTCATTGTCTTGTATTTTTCTTATTTCAGTAATACTGTGATCAATAGTACAGGATGGCAAAGTTGAAGAATCTTCTATAGTATTACTGGGTACTTGGATCCAAATGTTCTGACTTGATGTGGCTTAATATAGCATATGGACATGCTTACAGATGGTAAATTTAATGTGATAATTTGGACAAGAACAAGAATATATGTGTATACACGATCGGCAATTATTACATCTCAGTTGACAGTTTTCGAGTTTTCTACATGACATGTGTCGCATTCTTTTCTGATAAAATAATTTATCTTACCAATTTAAGATTTGACTTCCCAAATACTACGATTTATTTTAGATTGTGTAATATTTTTTTTTTTAATGCTTTTAGATTCAATATGACTTTTATTGATTAAGGTAATTTGATAAGTTGACTTTCCTTTTGTTTTCGTTAATCGATCAAACAGTATATCCCTAGGATCCCTAGTAAATTTCATTAGAACATCTATCGTTTTATCTAGTCTGTTTACCTTCTTTCCCTCTAAGTAAATATGCTTTAGGACTTTATGGAATGCTTCTAAATACATATTTGTATTTATTCTCAATCAATACCTATAACAATGTGCTCATAATTCCACTCAATTAACATAGTTATTAACTTCTTGAGAGCCATTTTTTAATTGTTTTCGCCAGTTTTGATCAACATGCCAAGCACAAAGTGTAGTAATAGGCCCCATGGAAAAGAAGAAGAAGAGGCGTGGCCCCATGAAGTTAGAGATTCTTGCTCGATGGATACAGGCAATGACGTATAATATATAGACTCGGTGAACGCTTTAAAAAGTGTCCAAAACATGAATACCTTTGTCATTGTTTATTGTTTTGATACGAAGATACACGAAGTTCATGATTTCTTACGAAGCATCACGAAGTTGATCTGGTGTTTGAAAACATCATGGACGTATGAAAGCATTTTCTCCATTTTGTGTGACAAGCAAATTTTATTTTAAATTGTTGAGAGTTATTAACTTACTATTTTAGTAAAATGCCATACTATTTTATCAAAATAATTATTTCTCTTATAGATGGGACAAAAAGAAATCATAAATATTTAATTTTAATTAAAAAATAATTATTGTCATTAACATATAAATGAGCACGCCGCTGTTGTGATAAACATACATTCCCGTAGCTCAAAATCGGTCGGGTTCGCGCATGTCGTCATTGGAGACTAGAATTTGAATTCTTGTTAAAGTTAAATGAGATTTGTATGCATTCTGTGATGAAATTACTAGACGAAAATAAGTTAAGAGGTTAAATAATTACAATAATCGTACACATAAGGATATCTCCAAACTATTTATTAAAGATTATTTATTGATATATACAAAAACTGACATTTCGAACGTGCAAGTCTCCAATGACGTCACAAAAACATGCGCAATATCTTATCTTATAGTCATAGTATCATGCCTTCAACCTTGAGCCGAGATCTTTCGGACACTCGATTCTATAGCGAGAATAGGGACTGCGTAGTCTATATATTATACGTCATTGGATACAGGTTACCCAATGACGTATAATATATAGACTCGGTGAACGCTTTAAAAAGTGTCCAAAACATGAATACCTTTGTTATTGTTTATTGTTTTGATACGAAGATGCACGAAGTTGATGATTTCTTACGAAGCATCACGAAGTTGATCTTGTGTTTGAAAACATTATGGACGTACGAAAACAATTTCTCCATTGTGTGTGACAAGCAAATTTTATTTTAAATTGTTGAAGTTATTTACTTACTATTTTAGTAAAATGCCATACTATTTTATCAAAATAATTATTTCTCTTATAGACGGGAACAAATAGAAATCATAAATATTTAATTTTAATTAAAAAAATATATATTGTCATTAACATATAAATGAGCACGTCGCTGTTGTGATAAACATACCTTCAACCTTGAGCCGAGATCTTTCGGACACTCAATTCTATAGCGAGAATAGGGGACTGCGTAGTCTACAATGACGTATAATATATAGACTCGGTGAACGCTTTAAAAAGTGTCCAAAACATGAATACCTTTGTTATTGTTTATTGTTTTGATACGAAGATGCACGAAGTTCATGATTTCTTACGAAGCATCACGAAGTTGATCTTGTGTTTGAAAACATCATGGACGTACGAAAACATTTTCTCCATTGTGTGTGACAAGCAAATTTTATTTTAAATTGTTGAAGTTATTTACTTACTATTTTAGTAAAATGCCATACTATTTTATCAAAATAATTATTTCTCTTATAGACGGGAACAAATAGAAATCATAAATATTTAATTTTAATTAAAAAAATATAATATATTTTATTTTATATATATATATATATATATATATATATATATATATATATATATATATATTTTATTATATATTATTATAATATATAATATATTAAAATTATAATATATTATATTGTCATTAACATATAAATGAGCACGTCGCTGTTGTGATAAACATACCTTCAACCTTGAGCCGAGATCTTTCGGACACTCGATTCTATAGCGAGAATAGCGGACTGCGTAGTCTATATATTATACGTCATTGGTAGTCTATATATTATACGTCATTGAGGTTACCGAATAAAGGAAGAAGAAGAAGAGATACAGGTTAGGAGGTTAATACATAGAGAAATGTATAAAATAAATATTGTTATATCTCTATGCCCTTTCTTTTCCTAATTGTATATGTTGATGATGTTGATATTTGATATTGAATTAGTGAATGAGATGAGAGATCACTGAGTTATTTTAGTTATGGAATCTAACATTGAAATTAAGGAAGAGTTTGTTGAAAGTGATCAAAGATACATGGAGAATCAGCTATCTACATTAACTGATCCTGGACACTTAAAGAATGGACCAGAAGGAAACTCAGGTAAGACAAATAGTAATTAGTTTTAAAAAATGAGATGTAATTCGTATTTTTTTATTAGCTAGGGCTGTAAAAACCGAAATTAAAGAAGAGTTTGTTGAAGGCAATCCAAGATATGTAGAGAGTCAGGTATCCATCTCCCTTGATCTGAGAGACTTGAAGAATGAACCAGATGACTATATTTCAGGTAACATAAGTACATAATAATAATTAGTACTAAATACTTTAATGAAATTAAAATTTTTTTAGATAAGGCTATAAAATTTGAAATTAAGGAAAAGTTTGTTGAAGATGATCCAAGATATCGCTACCCCAGTTCAAAACAGAAACAACTCAAAATTTTGTTGAAATGAGTTATTTCCGTAAAATTTATGCTAGGATGATAATCTACCTATTTCAAAAGAGAAATAAATCATACATTCATATGCATTCCTTAAAAAGTGTCTATTTCCTTTTTGATTTTATAATCTTTTTTAACAATGTCGGTTCAAAACAGAAATAACGTAGTTGTTTCTGTTTTGAACTGAATGTCACGCGCTGTCTGACATCTGTTAGGAAATAAGTTAAATTATTTCAGTTTTGAACCAGCCTGTGTCACGTTTCTTTTAGGTTATGTCAGTTTGAAAGTAATTGTTAACCTTTATGTTTTTAATTATTTAGAACAATATTAGTTCCGTTATTTTGTGTATTTTCGTAAGTTTTATAAGTATTACAATGTTGCCTATAGGTAGAGGTAAAAGAATGGCATTATTGGCAGTTGGCGAACTAAATAGTAGTGATGAAAATGAACCATTAAACCAAATAGTGGATGAAGTAACTTTTCAGAAAGAGGTAAGCCGGTTAGCTGTAGTAAACTAGTAGCATTCTGTTTTGATAATAGGTACATAAAAAGTTTTTCAAATTGTTTTAGGGTACTACTAAAAACCTTAATACGGATAATATAGTAGTAGAAATTAACGTTGATGGTAATGTTGGATATAATGACCAAAGTAATAATAGCAGTGGCTATCCATCCGTTCTCCTTGCAATACCTGAATTTCCATCGAGAGAAATATTTGTACACGACCAAGTAAGGAATTTGTTCTAAAAAGCGTTAAAAAACATATTCATTATTACATTAACTTTTTTTAGGTACAAAATTGCAATATTATTAAAGAGATAAATGGTAGTGTTACTGTGGAATTAGATAGTAATGAAAATGCGCTTGATTTGTTGATAAACACTCAGGAACCAGCTGCAATTTTTGAAGAAAATATTAATGAAGACTCTGCTGACAAAAGCCAAGAGAAAACCTATTTAAACTTATCAACTTTCTACCCGGTAAGCAAAAAAAAATTAATTGAATATTTTAGTATAATTTAGCTTTTTTATTATTATTTTAGAGAGAAAATGACGATGAGGAAATAAATTCTAGTGTTGGTGATGAAAGCAAAGATAAAGATTATATTGTACCCGACACTTATGGAGCAAATACCAGTTCTAGTGACAATGAAGCTGAGAACTATCACGAAAAAGTTGCTGAAACAGAAGAAATGGTTGAAGAAACTGAACTGAGTGAGAAAATTCTCACAAAAAAAAGATCTAGAAATCCAGACAATTGGGAGAAGAATGTGTTAAAGAAAAAAAGAAATCTAGGAAAAAGTTTCACAACAAAAAAAGGTAAAATAATTGCAGCAAGAAGTGTTCAATCAGCTTGTGGGCCCAAATGCAGATTCAAATGCAGCGAAAAAATTAATAACGAAATACGTCAAGAAATACACAACAGTTTTTGGAAAATGGGCAATATTAATGACCAAAGAGAGTTTATTTTAAGGCACATGTCTGAGTTAAAAACAAAATACCAAAAAAAGCTGCCTGAACGAAAAAGGTCATACAATTTCGTTTATACATTTTCTATCAATGGAAATAAAATCGTAGTTTGTAAGACATTTTTTATGGGTACACTAAACGTTAGTTCAAAAATGATTTTTACCGTTACGAAAAAAAAATCTCAGGATGGATTTCTGGAAAAGGATAAACGTGGCAAACATGGACACATGGGAAGGGCTATTAATCCACAGATAAAAGCCGACATACGTGAACACATAAACTCATTTCCCTTAATAGAATCACATTTCTGTCGTTCAAGAACTGCCAAAAAATATATCGATGGAAGTCTTAACCTGTCCACTATGTACAGATTATATAAAGAACAATGTGAAATACTACAAAAACCTTATGGAAAGTATAACATGTACTCCACAATTTTTTCTACAGAATTCAATATAAGTTTTTTTCAACCAAAAAAGGACCAATGTGCCCTATGTCATAGCTTTAATACCGCTACGGGAGAAGAGAAAGAAAATTTAAAAATGAACTACGAAAATCATCAATTAGAAAAAGAGGCAAGTAGAAAAGAAAAAGCTGAAGATGTGTCAAAAGCTGTTTCCTCGACTGATCAAATAGTTGCGGTTTATGACTTACAGTCTGTATTAAGTGTACCTTGTGGAGAGGTTTCACATTTTTTTTATAAAAGTCGTTTATCTTGTTATAACCTCACCGTGTATGACATTGGACAAAAAAAGGGTTTCTGCTATTTTTGGAACCAGACCATTGCTCAACGAGGTGCAAATGAAATAGGAAGTTGTGTATATTATTTTCTAAAAGAGCAAAATGAGAACCAGGTAAAAGATATTACTTTTTACAGTGATAATTGCAGTGGGCAAAATAAAAATAAATTTATTATTGCAATGTACATGTACTGTGTGCAGTCTATGACAAAAATTGAATCCATTACACACAAATTTTTAATAGCTGGGCATACCCAAAACGAAGGGGACAATATGCATTCCTTAATAGAAAGGGAGAAAAAAAGAAAGCTTAAGGCCAGCCCGATTTATGTGCCTGCTCAATGGAGTACTATAATAGAATTAGCCAAAAAGACCGGCCATCCTTATAAAATTAAAGACATGACGACTGAGGAATTTCTGGACCTAAAAAAACTGACATCCTCTTTGGGAAACAATTATAATATAAACGAACAACTAGAAAAAGTTCTGTGGACTGACATTAAAATTGTTATGGTCAAAAAAAATAACCCTTATATTCTTTTTTACAAGACATCTTATTCTGATGCTGAATACAAATCAATCAATATAAAATTTAAGTCTCCAAGAAATAAATCAGTACCTAGTTTATCTCAACTTTATACCGGACCTATTCTTATTCCATCTAACCTTAAGAAAGGATTACTAGAACTTTGTGAGCTCAAAGCTATTCCTAAGGTACACTGGGATTTCTACAGAAATTTGTTGGAGCAGGAAAATACAAAAAAACACAAAAAAAATATTCCACCAAATAATGATAGTGATTGTGACGAGTGTGAAAAAGTGAAAGATATCTAGTATTTAATTTTAATTATGTTTAAAATTGGAATAAAATGTTTAAGTTATACTATTTTTTATTTCCTAGTTTAGAAACAACATCAATTTTTTTCCATTTTTTATTTCAAAACAGAACTAACATGAAATTTAAAAGATTTGTTTTTTTTTCTTTTAATTAGGTAGAAAGGAAATAAAAAACACACTTATGATGTAACCATCTACTAAAACCACATTAGAATTGCAAAAAATACTAGTCTTCAAATAATTGGTTATCTCAATAAAACGTGGTCGTAGCTGAGCGATTTTAGTTATTAGCCATTTTCTCAAAAGTAGTTATTTTAAATTGTTTCCGTTTTGAACTTGGGTAACGATATATAGAGAGTCAGCTATCCACCTCTCTTGATCTTGGAGACTTAAAAAACGAAGATACCTCAGGTGAGATAAATAATGAAAAATGCAGAGGAACTTATGTTTATAGCATTGAGGTATTTCATATATCAAAACCTGATTTTTTTTTATGTGTCTTACTATGATTTTTTCATTTGTTCCTTTTATGAAACTTTTAGTTGTTGGGTACTCCTATAGGGATATGTATTAGGAATATGAAATATTGAAATGTAAATCAGTGAATTCTGCTTCAAATTGAAATTAATGTTGTGTTTCCATAGTCATGATACTATAAAGAATACATAAGATGCCCTTTTAGACACATATTTGCCAAGGCTTGCATCATGTTACTTGATACTTTATTTTGAAATTTTGGGCAATGATTAGTTTAGAGTACTCAACATAACCAAATATATTTTCCTCAAGGCACCACGTCACAGTATTGCCATATTTTTTTTTGTATAATATGTGTATGAATGTTTAAAATATAAAGTTACTGTTACGAAATTATAATTTGTATTATGAAAAACTACAAATTTTAAATAAGTATAAAACTTGTCATATTTCTTTTTACATTCATGGTTACATGCTTAATACTTTACACTGGGTACAAATTAGTTACAATACATTTTGTTTTAAATTAAATTGTATAACTTTGTGTTTTTTTTAAGTTTATTACATTTTCATAGTTGCTGCTGTTTGAGATAAGTGTGTCTTTTAGGTTGTTACCACAAGCATATTTTCTTCTGGCCTCTAGGTAGTATTGGCAGTCACAAAGTACATGTGTTACAGAAGTCGTGGTGTTGCAGTCCTGGCACAAAATCTGATTACTGGAATTCATTAGGTGTACTTGTGTAAGGCGTGTGTTCCCAATTCTCGAATGATAGATTTGTCCTTTCTTTTCATTGGTGAGAGCTGGTGGTAGAAAATGTAGAATACTTAACTTGGTATTGCTTCATTTCTAATGATCATTTCACAGGTCCATTATTGTATGTTTGAATCTTCTTTTTAGATCTGATGATGTTTGAATGTCTGTTGTTATGTTAAGAGAACATGCTTGTTTTGCTGCTTGATTAGCTTTTTCGTTACCTGGAATACCAACGTGAGATGGGACCCGCAATATTGTTACCTTAATTCCATTAGTTCGAAGATGACTACATATACTTTGGATTTCTTAAACTATTGGGTGGATAGAATGTATGTTTCTTATGGACTGCATGAAGGACAGAGAGTCCATACAGATTGCTATAGTTTTATCATGGTTGAGTGAACTTTTCTCTGCTTGTAGTATTCCATATAGTTCAGCAGTGTAAACTGTGGTTGTATATTGTGAGAAAGTTTTGCTTGAAGTAATTACTTTAAAGGATCGCTCTGTGAGAAATTTTTTTATAAACGAATATATATTACCAGATAGCTTGTTCTGGTGTAGTTTGTTTAGTATCACACAAATCGGTATAGAGTCAAAAATGCTTTCGATGTAAAGGGAGATTGCAATGACTTCATTTTTGTTAGGTAGCTCAGTCGCAATTGTTGATTGCAGAAGTACAAGATTGTCCATGGTGCATCAATTTGGTCTGAAGCCTGATTGATATTGGTCGAGGATATTATTTTGTTCAAGGTACCAAAGTAATCTTTTATTAACCATTTTTTCTAGAAGTTTACATAATGTACAGGTGAGAGAAATTGGCGTGTAAGAGTTTAGCGTGTCTAGGGATTGATCGTTTTTTTTTTGGTAGGTATCGTTATTGATTGTTCCCATAGTGATGGGAATTTTTGGGAAGACCAAATGTTGTTAAACAGTTGGAGTATTTTCTCGTATGTGTTTTGGTTAAGGTTTTTTAAACATTTTTAGGGAATATCGTCAGACTGAGCTTTTTGTTGAAAAAATGGCATCGTTTAGTTCTTGGAAAGTGAAAGGTATATTAATGTGATGATTAGTATTGTAATTTTTTTGAGTAGTATCAATTTCGTTATGAGGATTAGTAGGATTATTTGATTTATTGAGAAATAGTGGGAGAGCATATCACTTATTTGTTGGTCATCTGTAATTATTTTGTCCTGAATGGTAAGAGCTGGAATTTTGTATGATGTATAATGTCCTTTTATTCTCTTTATTTTTGACCATACTTGAGGTATCCTTGAAAATAAAGCTGGTAAAATGATTCCATGAATTTTGTTTACTGTTTTTTATTATGCGTTTTGTTTTAGCTCGTTGCCTTTTGAAATCTATTAAGTCAGCTAGATTGCGAGATTTTTGGAATCTTTTTAAAGCTCTTTTGCTTTCTTGAATTGCCATTTTGCATGAGTTATTAAACCAGGGAACATGTTTTTTTATTGGGTTAATTTTGTCTTTGTCGATACACTCCTCTGCGGACAAAACTATGCAATGGTTTAGTTGTTTTATGTCTTCGTCTATGTTATTTTGATATTTGAGTACATCTGTGCGTCCTTTTACAGTTAGTTTGAAAAGTTCCCAATTAGCACCTGAGATTTTCCATCTCGTTTTTGTATATTCCGATTTGACTGCATTGTTAGTAATGATAATGGGAAAATGATTGCTATCAAATAAGCTGTCTAGTTAATAGTCTAAGTTAATATCAATGAAATTTTCGATTATTTTACCTTGTTGTGTGCATTAAAATCTCCAACCATAATAAATGGGCCAGAAATTTGAGATATTAGGTTTTCTAATTCAGTGCTTGTCAATGTATAATTAGGAGGAATATATAAGCTACATATTGTGATTTGTTCTGGACACCATGCTGTTATAGCAACAGCTTCTAATGCAGTGTTTATGTTCAGTTGATACGAAAATTAATGTTCCTCCTCTAGCGCGTCGGTATGTAGTTCTGATATGTTGATAACTAACAAAGTTTTTTAGATGAGGGTTGAGTGTTTCTGTAAAGTTTGTTTCTTGTAAACAAATAAAGTCAGGATTAGTTTCGGAAATAAGTTGTTGTATGCGTGCTAGGGGAGAATAGAATCCATCGCAGTTCCATTGAATAATTATGAATTTGTTAATATGAGGATTTTTCTACTATGAAGAGTTCGGTTTTGTCCTTAAGTTTTTTTTAAAACGAGTTCGTATAACTTAGAAATAATAGATTTGATGTCTGGTGTGAATTTTAATGCTTCTGCGTATGGATCACTACTACCGTAACAGGTTTCAAGAAGAGCAATTATGTTATCTGCTGGGATTATGAATATTTGTGAAGTTTCTTTATGATTGTTTTTGCCATTTCGGATAGGGTTGAGCTACAATTTGACAGTTTTAAGTTCTTTCTTGCTTTGTGATTTGGAAATCCCGGCATGAATATTAGTTTGTTCACTATGAGTAGATTCTTCAGTTATGCTAGTTCTGTCGCTAGGAGCAAGGAGTTCTGAGTGTGTACGTTTATAGTGTGTTTGTGTATCTGTCATATGTTGGCTTGGTTGTGCTAATGAGGAGTTGTTATTTGACGATGTAAGTGGTATATTATTGACTGGAGGAGATATCTCTGTTAGTGTGAAATGTACAGGGTTGGGTTCTGGGCTTTTTTTAGTAGACGTGGATTCGGCTCTTAACACGTTGCCTGCCGTAGAGGATTTTGTAATACTTTCCATTCACACCATAGTGACCGAGCCGGCATTACATTGGCTCGGTCACTCGTTGGCGTGCAGGGCAATTTTTTTCTCGGTCACTTATACCGAGACAACAGGCAATGTGTAAAAGGAGATGAAACAATTGTCTTGTCAGAAGAGGTATTTTCTGGTGTATTTGTGCAATTTGAAGCGACATGCCCTGATCTTTTACAGACGAAACATTCTATTTTATCTGTAGAAACGAAGATGCGGTTTTCAATATCTTGGGAAGAGAGCACAAGGGAGGTTTGAAGCTCAAAATTTTCGTAGGGCGTTAACACATAAACTTGTCTCCTATAACTAAGGATATGTGAGAATGCCTCCCTCGGAATGACTGCTTTAAGAAATGATACTGAGAAACAATTTTTAGACCTAGGCTTTTAACAGCGGTTTCGATAATTTCATGTGGGATACACGGGGAGACATTGGATATTTAGATTCTTTTTGTAGGAGAAACGAGTTTACGTATGTTTAAAGTTAGAGAGCCGATTTATATGGTAGGATGAGATTTTACAAGTTCATCTACTATGTTTTTATTAGTTAAATATATACATACCCTAATGTTGGAGATTCTGGAGGCAAAGCAGATGTTCCTGGATTCGATAATATCATCAATTGCTTTTACGTAGTCAAATAATTTGAGGCTGTCTTCGGCATGGAGTATGATTGCTTGTTTTTTCCTTAGGTAGGTTGGTTTCTTTACAACAAGGCCTTTGATAAAGTGCGGCATGATCACCTAATCAGACTCCTGGCAGAAAAGAATTTAGATAAACGAGACATCCGACTAATATCAAATATGTACTACAATCAGAAAGCAGTAATGAAAGTAGATAATAATACCACTGAAGAAATTGAAATAAAGCGAGGTGTGAGACAAGGGTGTATACTGTCACCAACCCTGTTTAATCTCTATTCCGAAGACGTAATGAATAGAACACTCTCTGAGCAATCCGTAGGTATTAAAATAAATGGTGTTAGATTAAACAATCTGAGATTTGCCGACGACACCGTTCTGATCGCAGAAACACTTGAAGAGCTACATACATTGGTGAATAAGAT